CCTCTCACACCCACATCGATCCTGTCTGACTGCAATAAAATCCTGGATGCAACACAACTTCCTCAAACTCAACAGCAATAAAACTGAACTCCTCCTCATCGGCTCCAAATCCACCTCAGCAAAACCCCCAACCTGACACTCCACCATCGATGGCAACCCCTGTTTCCCCCTTCCCACCAGGCACGCAACCTTTGGCGTGAATATTTCCCGACCCCACCCCTCTCCATCCGACCCCACCATCCCGCCAAGGTTTGTAAAACCCTCAATTTCCCACTCCGCAATATCGGCCCAAAACTCCGTCCTTGCTCTTCACCCCGCCCGCAAGCTTGAGCGGGACTCATTCACGCCCTTCAATTCCTCACCCGCCTTTGACTTATTGCAAACTCACTCCTCCTTTCGGCTCAGCACAACACCCTCAACAGACTCCCAGCCGTGGTCCAGAACGCAAGCCGCCAGACTCCTCACCCCACCAATCCTGGCATCCCACATCACCCAACCCACCGGTCTCAAAGAACTCCCACTGGCTTCCCGTCCTCACACCGCATTACTTACAAAACTCCTGGTCCTCCACCGGATAAAGCCTCCACCATCTGGCCCCCCCCCCCATACCTCCACTACCTCCTCCATCTAACCATACCCCGCCGGAGTCTCAGATCCTACCCTCACGGTTTTGCTCTCAATCCAAGGCCAAAAATCCGGAGCTTCGGGGAACCAAGAAGGCCTTCTCCTCTGTGCAGACCGAAGCTCTGGGAACTTCCAAGACCTCTCTGAATTTTCACTCCTGGGGTCCCAAGTCCCGTCCAAACACCTCAACTCTGGCTTATCCCTTAAAAAACCGCCTCCTCTGGAACCAACATCCTCCCCTGACTTCTTTTCTGGTTTTGTTTGTTTTGTTTTTTGTTTGTTTTTGTTCTTTTTTGTTTGTTGACCTGGACCATAATGTAAAAGCCCGTCTTTTGGGTTACTAGAAAAAGTGCTATATAATCATTATTATTATTATATTAAATATAATACAAAAACGAATTTCAGCCCCTGATGTAACAAGTTCAGTAATTAAGTAACGATAACACCCTTGCACCAAACCCCAGGTTACAAGTTTTCATTTGCACTGTAACGATGAAAAGTGGTGGGATGATTGGCTTATCAGCGCCCGCAGCTCACACACAGGAACAAGATATCAGCTCGTCTGGACAGGACTGATAGCCAGAGCAGACTGAGAAGGCTCAGTGAGGTAAAGTGTTAGATAGTTCACTTTTTAGTCCTAAGTTTATCTTCAAGAGGGTATCAAACGGTTTTGTTTAACAATTTATGTAAACAAATATTTCTCAAGGCCAACCCTTTATAATTAGTGGGAGAAGAAGTAAAAACAGGGTTTGAAATCATTCCAGTGCAAACCTATAGGAACAGTAAACCCAGAAATATTGGTTAAATCTGGAGAGATTAAAGATATTGCATAAATAAATAAAATGTTAACTGGTAAAATATAAGAAAAAATGAACAACAAAAAAATAAGTTACATTTACTTGTATTGGCTATGTTAGGTTATTGGTTATGCCAATATCTTTATTTGATTATATAAAAGTAAACCCGATCTTTCATATGGGTGTTTAGAGTTGTAACCCCTCTAGATCTAGTCTCTGGCAATTCAGCTCCAAAAGTGGCACCAGATTGAAGGCATTTTACTTTATAATGTTGAAAAAAATCTACCCCCCTGACCCCCCAATGTGATCCCTACAGCACCCCCCATATTGAACAATGTTCCCACGGCTATGCCTGACAAAGTAAGTGGAAGAGTAGACAATATAAAGGTATTGGCCTTTAGGGAAATGTCCCAGTAGT